ATTTTTTAATAACGTCAACCAAAATAACAACTCATTACGCCTGTTACTTCGAAAGTACTCTCGTTATAAATATGCCAACAATTGTCATCATCTCCAGCCGAACAATAACGGAAATGTACACATTAATCTTCCGCTCTACGGTCGTGGATCACCACGGGCATCCAATCAAACATCACATTCAATTGACCACCATTGGAACGACCAGGAAAAATTATACGGCAGTACAGGAAATCAATTTATCAACAATCTTTAATTACCATAGCAAATTTACATAATAAAAATCAATATGTCAAACGTGGACATCTGTTTCGCACGATATTGTTAATCAGTGATGTCACAAATTTCATTAAGATATATATAAAATATGAAAATAACCTTGGATTTCTTGTTTTAAAAAGAACTGTGCATTCATATACATACTATATATTGCGAAGCCCTTCGGAAGTGTTTATACGAATAGAATGCACTTGTTTCTGTTGCGAATCCTCGCTTATTTTGAGGTTTACGACGTTAAAGAATGATTATGGGCTGTAGTGCCTGGAATGTGTCTACAATTCTACAAATACATTCTATGGGATCGACCAGCCTTTACTATTTAATAGAGTCTAGGCTGTGGCAAGAAAAACAAATAATGCATTTGTACCAACGCCGAGCTTTGACCGATATTTTCTTCTTCTTCAGGGTCGACAGAGATCAATCTTAATTAATTTTACATACATATGTACATACCAGTGTTGACGCTATCAGATGTTGCTGGGGCATCTTTCAGGAAACATAACAATGTGTTTCGTACAAACATGTACAGCAAATTCCTAATTTTTTTTTTCCGCTCGGAATGGAAGAGGAGCTCTCTTGCGGCTGTTGCTCTTACATGTTCCCTGTGTGAGCTAGTCTCTCGTTTGTCTACCTACCTCGTTCTCTCTCTCTTCAAAATTTTCTCTCTCTCTCTCTCTCTCTCTCTCTCACCCTCCAAACCACTCTCTTGTGCATACCACTGGCGAAGGTGGGATTCAGGCCCGAAGTCCTACATACTGTATATACAGGGTGAATTGCTACTCGTGCTACAAACTTCTCCAGTAGATTCTTCACCCTAAAATGAACAAAAAAGTTCATATTGTCCATGGTCCGATTCTCAACCATTTCAGAGTAATTTCGCTTTTTATCGATTTTGAAAGATATCACGTCCTGGCGTCGGAAAATCGTGATATCTTTTAATCTAAACATTTCTCTTAAAATCTATAAGCACCGTTGAAATCCCCGTTAATTTTTAGAGAGAATCAAAATCATAATTCCATTGAAATTTTTTAATTTAATTTAATGCCCATTTAGTATGTAATGCTTAAGAAGTTTACAAACAGCTAGAAGGTCAAGGAAGAAAGACCCAAACGTTTTGCCACCTTCATCTTCTTATTGAAAAATTAACGGGGATTTCAACGGTGCTTATAGATTTTAAGAGAAATGTTTAGATTAAAAGATATCACGATTTTCCGACGCCAGGACGTGATATCTTTCAAAATCGATAAAAAGCGAAATTACTCTGAAATGGTTGAGAATCGGACCATGGTCAATATGAACTTTTTTGTTCATTTTAGGGTCAAGAATCTACTGGTGAAGTTTGTAGCACGAGTAGCAATTCACCCTGTATATATATATGTATGTATACATATATATATTTAAATAGATACTATATAGCTCCCTTATTAGGAAATCGTTATGGAAAGTTCATGCGTTTCCTGTCTTCGCCAGTACTCCGTCAAAATTAAACCTACTTTAACAACATCGGAAGATGCTTGAGTGATTGATTGTTCATTCGAATCTATAATAAAACTTTCAATCCTTTGTAAACTCATAGCATGCAGCAAAAGTCATGGTTTGTCTAATCTCCATTCATAATGAAACTCTCCGTAGTCATTACTCACACTCCCCACCCTCGAATGATCTAATTTAATACCGATAAGTTTGGATTTAGGCGTCATCATGTAACTATTCAAAAGGGTCATCTCATCTTCCCTTGAGATTGCTATTCTTGCTTATTTCTCCATATCGAACAGGCTTTCGATCGAGTCTCCCACCTGGGTTTGCTGTGAAAATACGAGGGCATTATACCCTCTATACTTTTCCTTATCTTCGAGTCCTACCTGATCAATATATACTTTGGAGAACTCACTTTTGTAAAAACTGAATCCGGGCGTCCTCAGTTCGTTACTGTACTTAGTATATTTTTTCATAACCCTTCCCATACCGTCATCTTTATCCCACAACGACACTGCTATTCTATCCTCCACTCCGACCCGTTTATTGCTCAACGAATCCTCCTCCAGACGCCCCTGAATGCCGTAAAGCAATGGTACAAACAATGACGAATCAAACTCAACACCACAAAATCCCAAAATATATCCATTAACATCCGTCGCATCATTCTACCTCCAAATTATTAGTACCTCTCCTCCTTCCAAGAAGATAAGAGGATGTACTTTTACAAGCGGCTCGCCTAAAATCCCCATACACTTAAAGATACAGAACAGAACCGAAGTTAAAAGACTACCTACCAGACAAGAGACTTCTAAAACTGCTCGCAATACTGAAGCCAATATAAACGTACGGCTTAGAACCATGGGATTCAAGCAATCTCAGCAGAATCCAGACCCTACAATTACGAAACCTTGGCTCCTCAAGTAAATGTTTCCTTCATAAAAAATGTTGCAAAATCTAACTACAAAAATACGACACTTATCTCCGATCCCGCTCTAATCCTCTCACTTAAAACTTCTTCCTTATCTTTGCCGAATTTCTTCGACGTCTAAAAAACGGCGGATCCGTGCATTCAGAGAGCAAGGGTGATTATGATTAATCAACATTTAGGAGTCTCATCATTGAACAGGTTCTCTTCTTGATTTAACGTTATGTTATCTTTCTGTAATCTATCTAACTTATTGGTTAACTTATTATAACTTCCATTCGAAACATAAACAGTAGGATAACATTTCATGTAGTCTTTATAAACGTTATCAAATGTTTACATTTATAAACAGGGCTCACAGGATGAGGTAACGACGAAAAATGAACAAGCCTTTAACACGTTGAAGTCGGAAACGGCTGATTATATGAAAGAAACTTGGCAATGAAAATTTGTCCTTTAAATGGACTTTTCCAAAAATCTTATTGTAAACTAGTCATCTCCACTCAAGACATCTCCTTTGTATACCACGAGGAACAAAATATTTAAAAAAATCGATTAAAAAAAGTCGATTATAATCAGGCAGAGCTGAAAATCTTCCAGTTTTGCCAACGGATTTAGAAGATGGGAATATGCCAATTAAAGTGTACTACAACTTAAAATAAGTATATGTTGTCGTTATCCCTCACATATTAGATTTTCAATCGAAAATGGCTTCTGATGAAGAAAATGGATGTTGAGCAATCGCAATTGGAATTGGTGAAAATAACATATTATAATGGACAAAAGTATTAAAGATGAGAGACGACTTTACTTATTAATAATATTTATAATTATTGGGAAGTAACATATGGGCGATGTAAAATGAAACTCTCAAAACAGTGTCAGCAAAGCAAGAAATAAAGGCTTTCTCTCTTAGAAACCTGTTGACAAAATCATCTCCCTTTGTTCTGGGTTTCATTTAAATCTAATATACGATGGGAAATAATAAAAAGTGGATCATAATGCTGTGAAGGACGCAGGGGTTGTTTCTTAATGATGCCAGCTGAAGGGCTTCCGGTTACCTGTTGAGCGTTTCATTCATAGCCCATCCGCTTGATATGAATGAACAACTGTTGAAGACGAAAGAATGAACTCGTCAACACATGTTTTCCACCCTCTATCGATCTGTAATATTGTTTCTACAGTGTTTAATTAAATCATGTATACAAGGACTCCTTGTTTACTAAATAGTTTGACTATATTGTAAAGTAGTGGAAAGGTTTGGTGTGAAAAACCCCGATGGTATTCTGAGATGGGATAAAAACTTTATGATAATGATATATGTAACCTAATACGTCTGCGTTAACCTCCGTATGAGAAATGAATGGAGGAGTAAATATTTTGGCGGAGGGGTGTAGTGAAACTTTAAATAATAATTCCCGTCACTGAACGGGGTGGTGGTTAAATGTGGATCGGGGTGGATTCGTGGGTGTAGAAAGGATCCGCCCACAGAGATTCAAATACATTTAACCCCGCTTTTTACTGCAGCCTATGAATTGGACCATTAAATACTTTATCAATATTTTGGTGTGGGGAGAAGGGCGCAGACTCCGACGGAATCAATGTGCCCGGCAGGACGACTCATCGCCATCTGGAAACGGAAATACATCGCGCTTCGGCCTCCGGACGATAATCGAATTCAGCCAGAAGGTGTTAAGATCCTCAACTGATAAGCCCGTAACGCGGTGCTTTATCGGTTAATCAAATGCACCAGCCGTCCGATCGACGCACGAATACCTCCAGACCGAACCTGGCCGTCTCCCGGGTTGGCCATTTTTAAAACGTGGCCGATGTATTTATTGTCTCTCCAAGAATATCGATATCGGAGACCGCTCCGGGTGAAAGGTTAAACTCAACAAGAAAAACAACAATATTTAAACAATCTAAACAATAAAAATAAAAAATAATATTTAACTACTTATGCATAAACCACGACGAGTCGAAAGAGAAATCGCATAATTTTACTCGCTGGGTGGAAACTTAAACATGTTCAAATAAAACTAATTATGTTAAAACAGTTAAACAGGCTTATAGAAAAGCAGTGTGAACCTGACGAGAACACCAAGTCGTTTGTTTTGCGCATGCCGGCAGTCCAGGAATGGCGTCCTGTTGCTGTGGCAGGGAGCAAAAAGACCCGAGACGGTAAAAAATGTCGAATCGATACATCGCAATGGAAGTATCGATGCGTTAGATCGATACGTTTCTTGTATTTTCGATGTCGATGTGTTGGTCGGATAGTAGAACGCCTCGATTTTCATCCCCCTTCCTTTTCAACCCCCACCAGAACCCACTTGTTTGACACCCCCCGGAGAGACCTGGAGTCCTACTCACACCTTGCGTGACTCCCTTGCCATCTACATCTATCTCCAATCTACTTGCGCCCCAGTAAGTCACACAAAAAAAGGTTTAGCTACAATTTTTTTTTCTTTTCGAAATTTATTGGACACATTGTTGGCAGTCTTAGACTAAATATATTTAATTTTTATCAATTTGTCAACTTTTATTTTATGCATAATTTTTTGTTTCTTCTTGAGTTTGAATTTTGGACAGAAGACATATAGCGTCAACTAATATGCAAATCATAAATGTGCATCTTCTTTTTTTGTAACTGTTTGGTTTTTATGCGAATGCTTGCTTTGCAAAAAATTTAATCTATGTACTGCAACTAGACTAAATTTAATATGCCTACTTTTAAGAACTGCTAGAGTGGCGAGGCAGTAAGCCTCACCAATTTTCTCTCTATTTTAAACATGTATGAACAAAAAGAAATTTTAATTTATTAAAAAAAACCTCTGTCTTTTGAAGGGCATACATTAGGTGACTACAGAATGTTTTTGCTTGGAACTATTTATGATTTTTGTTTGTGATGTAACTTCAAAATCTTTTAGAATGTAAATCCCGAACGCTGAGCTGCCTGCAAAACGCTTGCTTTATGGTTGATTAGGCGGCCAAGCGGGTAAAGTTGAGGAGAATTATTTCTAATTGTCTTCAGCGTTAAAGATAATCAATGATCATTAAAAAAATTTATTTTGAAAAGAATATACAAAACAAAGATAAAAGAGAAAACTAAAATTAAAAAAAATCATTCACGTCAAGGTGGTGATAAATGCCTCTGCCACTTTGCAGTCATTTGGGATTAGAAACTTTCTGCAGGATCTGTCGCCTGGAATGCAGTCAGCGATTTGTACGAAGATTTGAGCTAACGGGCGCAAAAATACGTTTCTCCCCTGCTTATCGGTCATATATTTTCCTTTTATATCACAGGAAATTCAATAACATGCCTTTCTTTGTTATAGATCATCAGTAACGTTTGGCTTATACCTCATTACAATATTTTAACTTTCAATTAAAAGTATCTCAAAAATTGTTAAAGAGAAATATGCTAAAATCTTGAAAATTTCTATTTATAAGTAGCGGTGTAAGAATTACAGGAATACGTAAAAGTTTCACCACCTGAGGCTCTTGAACGCTTCGTAAATACAATTAAAACGTATAATTTTTTATAAACGAACGGATCCCTGAATGACGGAACTGAAAAATTAAATGATATTTTCAGTTGCTTTACCGACGTTGTTTAACAACGACATTGGAAGACAACAAACGAGAAAAGAGGGAAAATAACAAAGCGTGACTTCTTTACAGTTACAACTTATTTAAATTTTAAAGAACATAAAAATTCATTTTTTTTGGATTCCCTTTGCGAGCAAAATTTTTTTATGAATTATCCCATGCATTTTGCGCACCTCATATTGTTTTATTCAAAATTCAAAAAATTCCATTATAAAGTAAATTAATAATTCCTTCCTTTTTCCTTTTTCACCAGCCATGAAAACCTTTTCAAAACTGTCTTTCTTATTAATGTTGCTCTGAACTTTTCTCACTACTTACAATCGTAAACTAAATTTCCAATCTTGAACTTCATCATTTGCTGCCAGCCCGAATTTATTTACGAGCGGTTGTTTCCGTACCCCGGGAAAGCCTGTGTCATCTTGAAGTTTAACCTAAAAAGATGCTGCGAGTTCGATGATCCAACAGAAGCGTTTATCCATTCAGTATACCATTTTTCCAAAGAATTTCTTATTGTGTTATCATCTATTAGATAGGCAGCTTTTCATAAGTTGTGTTATAGCTTGTTCTGTAGCTACCTCAGTTAGGTCCACTAATTTATTCCCGAAAATTGTGCCATTGTAAATTATTTTATTTTTTTAGTTTTTAAATATATGCAGATCTATAACTATGTCATTATAATTGCTTTTCTCATGGGCGACCTTTTTCTTTATTTCCGGGGAATACCAACAGTGGTCATTTCAGACTCCCAACTAATGTGAGGGCCGACGGAGTCTCAATACCCCACTTATTCAATTTAAAAAAAAGTCAAGTTATATAGACTCAGATTCAAAAGACACTCAACATAGACTCAAAAAATGACTCGCCGAGTGTGTCAGACGAGTGCAGCCGTGTTAGAGCAATAATTCTGTCGTGTTCATGACTCGCAAGAATTTTGGGTGAGTGTAGTTTTCATTCCAGAGCTCTACTTCACTCTTCTACTCTTGTTCTATGGTAACATGTCAAAACTCAACTTATTTAAAAATGGATAACATGAAACTGTTTTTTTTCCACGCTTATTTCTTTATTTTAATAATCTGTTCGACGTTCAAAATATTTTGTTTGAAGTGAATTAAAATGCCATCGATCTTTTAGAACCATTTAACTGGAAAGTATGTTTATTATATTAAAATCGTTTGGGACGATAAGTTCTTCCGCTTGTTCCGCTTTCATTGATTTAATAATAAAGAAATTGACAATTTAGGACGCAATGTAAATTGTTTGGTCTAGAAAACAACCTAGTTGATAAATTAAACAAATTGGTTTTAAATAATTAAATTAAGATTCAGCGTTTCTTAACTAGATCTACCTAACCTAATTAAAAATGATGGATTTTTATCAAAACAAGTAATTAAGCTAATCTACTTTCTTGAATTCATGTATTCTGGCATTTATTCAAAAATAACATAAAAAAGTCTCTTTATAATGAAAAAGTTGATTAGTAAAGAAGCATTTGTTCTAACAAAAATGCCTGATAATGGTAGTTCGTTAAGAATTTTCTATTAAAAAGAAAATAAAATTAAAATTAAAGGGGAATAAAAACCTGTGCTTACTGTTTAATAAAATTAACTGGATATTGTAAATTAGCCATGTATAAAATACACAGGATTTAATTAAATTAAGGAGGACAGAATTTATGACCTCATTATGTTCAACAGGATTTTTGTTTTTGTAATCTTTATTTGAAAACGAGTGAACACTGAAAAAGCTCATTTTTTGTATTTCCTTGGCTTTCTCAGACAGTTAGTTACCTCGGATTTCCAACGGCTTACCCGCAAAATGGCTTGGCCGGTAAAGTTGGGCCAGATTGTTAGAAACGGTAAGTAATTGCTTGTTGGTGCTTTAATGGGTGCTTGCTTTTAAAAATGAACAAAAGCTCTCTTTTAAATTGAGGTACCTTTAGCCGGGCTGAAGAATTTATTAAACTTTTATATTGTAAAACGTTCATCTGTTGTTATTTCCATATATCTTAAACGGTTGATTAACAGATCTTGCCAATTAAAATCGAGAAAATACTGAATTTTATATTGTTTATTGCTTTATTTTACAATAATGTGGCAATATTCTTATAAGGAAAATATCCTCCTTTAATTTACACTTTTAAAATTTCTCTTTTAAACTTTGAATTATTGCAATCAGGATAACATGTTTTTTTTCTCACGTGTTTTATGTTACGGACAACAAGGTCTGTTATTTGTTCCTATTAACCGCATTTGACATTACACATTTTGTTTAAATACACTGACAGGCAAAAAATTCCGTCCACTTTTAATATAACTTTATTTGTATATATATATATATTTTTATATATATATTTTTTAGACAAAGACTCAATTNAAGCGAAATTACTCTGAAATGGTTGAGAATCGGACCATGGACAATATGAACTTTTTTGTTCATTTTAGGGTGAAGAATCTACTGGAGAAGTTTGTAGCACGAGTAGCAATTCACCCTGTATATATATATTAATCGAAGTTTCACGTTTTTAACGTTTAATAATTGAGTCTTTGTCTAAAAAAGTTCAAAAAAATGTAAATTGCTAAGGAAAGAAGATAGGCAGATAAAATTTGTTTTTAATTTTGTTTTAGATTTTTAATTAACATTTCAATATCGCTTATTTCCTCCTCTTGCCTTAAATATATCTCGAAGAAGCCTCGGCATACTTTCTACCAGTCTGGCAATGCCTCTTTGCTGGAGCTTAGCCCATTCTTCACGAAGAGTCCTTTCAAGATCGTGGAGTGTATCAGGAAGTGATGGACATGCTCTTATTTGCCTTTTGAGGTTATCCCATAAATTTTTGATGGGGTTCAAGTCTGAAGAGCTGGCTGGCCAGGTTAAGACGTTATGCTGTTGAAGGTTCGTTTGTACTATGCGAGCGACATGTGGACGGGCATTATAGGGCATTAGAATAGGATTGTCGCTGATTTCATCGAGGATAGGCATCGCATGATTTTCCAAACTTCCCTCCACGAACAACAACCAACTCTGTGCGACTCTCCATTGAAATTCCCGCCCACACCATCACAGAGGTAGGTTGTAAAGGTGGGCTCTGGGAAAATTACAGGCTTCACACCTTTCATTTCGTCTTCTCCACACTCTTTCACGCCCATCTGGAGATCGTAGAGCAAAACTACACTCATCTGTCAAAATACAGCAGACCAATTGTCGAAAGATCAATGGCTGTGTTCTCGAGCATATGCGAGCTGTGTGGTATGGTCAACTCTGGTCCTCTTACGGTGCGAAAAGTCATCGGTCCATACTGACCATTTGAACAGTGCGTTCAGAAATTTGGACACCTCGAACTTTCTGGAGATGATGACTCGCTTGAACAACAGTAAGGTGTCGGTATCGCAAAATTCTTTATTACCAATTAAATCATTATCGTGATCGTGGGTTCGAATCCCGCTAGTGCCATTAGCTTTTTTTCATCTCAACTAAAAACCTTAATTAATTGTAATGATTTAATTGGTCAAGCGGACCACGAAATTAGTGAAATTAAACAGTTCATTGCTTCAGAATTCAAATGAAACTGAATAAACGTTTTAAATTCCGTAAAAAGTAAATATTGAAAAGTCCTTTATCCTTGTTTTGGATTAAGGATTAAGCGTGTACCTCTAATTCTCAATTTAAAACACCGCATAAACAAATATTTATTAGTAAAACAATGAGATTTAAAGGCTGAATTTTTTTATCGAGAAAATGAAAAAAAATCAATTGGGCCGAATTTGTTGCCTGTCAGTGCATAAAGGGTGATGTGCTATGAGATTAAAAAAAAAAGT